ATAAATTTGATTAATTAATTTAAAAATCAAATTTTAATAATTCAATTTTTTTATTTTAGTATAGCAAAATAATCATATTATTTTTATAACTGTATTTTAGTAAAAAATTAGTATTAGAATTATTAAAATTGTTAAAAAAAAGATCAACATTGATGATTAATATAAATATTACATAAACTTAAATAAATAACATTTATTTTTTCTTATATTACAAAAAAATATGATTACTACTATATAAAGTAAATATAAATAATTAGTTAAAAAAGAAGAAAATTAAAAATTAGCTTAAGAAGAAGAAAGTAATACTGATAATTCTAATTATAATGCTAATTTATCTGAATTAGAACAAAAAACTAGTAATCAAACTATATCTGATAAAGAAATAATTGAAATAATTAATATAATTAATGAAAATTATATCAGATACTGACATTAATAAAAGAATGTTTAAAAAAATCTCATAATAAAATTATAAAAAAAACTGAAATAATGTTAATATAATTTATTAAATTGAAAGCTATAAAAATGCTTAAATATTGTAGTTTTCTAAGCTCAATAAAATATATTTATCAGATACATACTATATTATCAAAGGTATTATAGAATGTTACTTAGAAGCATTATAAAAAGGTAATCAAAATCTTATTAATAGTATATTGAAGAAGAAAATTTTAAGTCACATCTTTATTTCAAACAAAAATTATTAATTAAAAATGTGGTTGGATTTATTATTGGCATAATACAACCTTTAAGTATTATGAAAGATAAAGATTTTATTAAAATAATAAATATATTTAATTTATATTACAAGATTTCTTTTACCAAAATTTTTAAAGATTGAATTTCATTAGCATATAAAGTAGAAGCAGATAAAATTAAGAATTAACTTTTTTAATTAGAAAATATTTCTATAATATTGAATGACTAGAGTTCATTAATACATATATCCTATTTAGGTATTATAATATATTAAGTAATATCTAAATTTGAACTATGTGAATTATTTCTTAGTATATAAGAACTATCATATCTATATAATGCAACTGAAATTCAGAAACATTTAGCTGATTTGTTTGATAAATAAGAAATTAATTCAAAAATTATAGCTATAGTAACTGATAATAGTTTTAATATAAAGAAATTATGTAATAATATAAATATTAGTAAAAGAGTTTTTTATGCTATATATATATTTTAACTAAGTATTGGAAAAGGATTAGATATAGCAAAAGTATTAATTAATAAATGTAAATATCTTATTGCTTTTTTAGTAAATGATAAAAAGAAATAATAATTTAGGGAATTACAAGTTTATTTATATTAGTAGTAGCAATTATAAAAGATAATAAAGATTAGAAAAAAAGCAAAAGAATTTATTTTTCTTAAAGTAGTAAAGCTAAAAACACTTACTAAAATTTAATATTATATACATTTCAAAGATTTATTATTCTTAAACTAGCAATTTCAATATTAAAATTTCTTTAATAAATGATAGAAATTTACGTTATTATGAAGGTTTTGTAACTTCAAATAAAATCTCAAAAGGGTAAATAAAACTAAGACAATTATTTAAAGAATCATGGGTAAGGATTCATAATAATGTCAAAGATTATTCTCAATATAAAACACCTGATATAAATACAAAATAAACACAAAATAACTCAAAGATTATACTTCAGAGACTCTAAGTCAATATAGCGAATCAATATAATATCATATAAAGGGTTAACTAACAATAATTAAAAGGAATTACATAAATACAAAAGATCACAAATAATTTATAACAGTTTTGAAGGGTTGTGGAGAATAAGATTTATACTTAGTTAATTATACTTCTTTATTAATATAATATATAAGTTTGATATCTAAAAGATTATCATCTTATCAGTACTGAAACTTAAAGAAAATACAGAGATATTTATATATGTTGAATAAATAATAAAATAAATAAGCTAAATATATCAAAAGAAATAAAGTTACCATTTTACTAGGTAATAAAGTTACTATATTAATAAAATTACCAGATTTGCAGTTAACTAAATGGATATCTATAATCTATGTGATTATCAAGAACAATAAAATTGATATCTAAAAGTTTGCATAATTGATCGATAACAATAAAATGAATAAAATGATCTTCATAAAAGATTTACATGGCAATAAAATTGACTTTATATTCTACTAATTAAATTTATCTAAAATTTTACCTGTTATAACATATTCATAAAAAGGGTAAAAAATTAAAAAAATTGTATTTAGTTACATATGAATAGAAAATAATTAAAGAAATAGTAAAGCTTTTAAGTTCTTTTAAAAGTATAACATATTTTTTAAGCAGTTTAACATATCTAACTATTGGTTTAATATATTCAAGTTTATTAATTTAAAAGAAATTCTTAAAACTAAATTTATATAAATAGAAACTAATATAGCAAAAAATTGTAAAAAAGTAATCTTAGAAGATTTATAATCAGAATAGGAATTTCCTCAAGAACTTTATTTAAAAAGATCATTTCTTGATTCTTATTTTAAAAACTTAGAATTTATTACTTAAAGAATGCGTGAATAAATTATTAATCAATTGTAAACAGAATATGAAGTCTTAAAAGAGATTTAATTTCTAGTATTCCTATAAAGTTTAATAATAATTAGAGTAATTAACAAAAATAGCCAGCTTTAGAAGAAAAAAAATAAAAGAAATGTAATTCTAATAAAAAATAAAGTCTAATATTACCTTAATTTATCAGAATTGCTAACTTTTAAAGAGTATGATTTCTTGCATGATAGATAACAAATAAAATCTAATATCCTATATTGCATAAAATAGCAATGAAGTATTTTTCTATTCAGTCACCTCTATACCATTAGAAAAACATTTTTTTGATGCTAATAATTTAGTTACTTCTCAAAGAACTTGCTTAAATTTGAGTATTATTAATAAAATTATGTTTTTAAAAAGAAATAGAAAATATGTAAATATATTTAGGATGAAAAAATAGTTAATTGAATTGGAAATAAATTTTAAAATTTTAATTTTTTGATAAGTTTGTATATTGAACAATTTAAATAATTAAAATTTATTATAAAATAAATTATTGATTAAAAAATTTAGTTAATCTTGCTTAAAATTTTATCTTATGAGATCATCAAAATTACTTTATTATAAATACATTAAAAAAATAGTTGGTACTGTGAAAATTATTATACATAAATTCAGTTTCAATTTGATTAATCGAAATCAAAAATTGAATCACTAAATTGAATCTTAGAAATGATTAATTGAATCTAATTGATTCTCAAGATTTAATTTTTGATTTTAATCCCTAGTATTAAAAGAGTTTTGTGGTATCTTTTATTATTATTTTAATATAGTTTTATTTAAGTTTTGGCTGTTCTTAAGAGGTTTTTTCCTTCATCTATAATATTAAAATAATTTACATAATAAAAGATCTAAAGTTATTTATAAGCTAAAAGTTTTATAATTTTATATTAAAAAATTTTATTATTAATATTTAAAATTTACCTTTAAAAATATTAATTATAATATAATATTTTAAATTTGTCATAAAGAATAATTTTATTTGTTACAATTTTTATAATTTATTAAAAAATTTTATGACTTTTATTAGTAAAGATATTCATTTTAAAAAATTATTATAATAAATTAATTTTAAAATTGAATTATATTAAATACTTCTTAATAAACTTAAATATAAAATTGATAAAGCATATATTAAACTATATATTTTTCATATAATTATTATATTATTAAAATTAAAATATGCTTTGTTTTTTAAAAAAAAAGTTTTCAGGCAAATTTACCTGTAAAATTTGAGAAGAATTAGCCTATCCTATTAATTTCTTTTTTTGTAAATTTAATTTTTAATTATTTATATTTATCATAGTCTTTGAATTTTAAGACTCGAATAGAAAACAATGACGATCATTCGAAGATTTGAATGAAAAAAAAATTAAAAATAATATATATATATATATATGAATCAAAAAAACAGAATATTTGAATAATTAGTATCTTTTAAAATTGAAATAAAAATAGTAGGTAACATGGTTACATAACTGCTACATAAATTATGTTCAAAAAATGGTGGCGTAGTAAATTCCGATTTTGGAAAAAATTTTGTAATTTCATGCAAGCTCTCATTGTAATTTTTCTTGATTTGGAAAAAAATTTATTTGAATTTCATTGTTGACGGATTAAACACTCCATATTATGCATGGCTTGTAAAACTTTCCATATTTGATCGAATACAAAGAACCGTTCTTTCAAAACTTTCAAAACTTATAAATTATATAATTTATTGAATTTGTGTAGCAGCGTGTATACAAACAAATCCTAAAGAAGCTTTAGAAATATGTACTGGAAATTTGTACACATCGTTGAGATATTTTTAGAGAACTGGTGTAAAATATGGGGATGTATTATGATTTCCCTCGTAAACATTTAATTTCAAATAGCGAATCAAACAACATTTAGATTTATTGGGGGTGCATGGTTAAGCGCATCTTTTTTAAAGTTTTTTTTCTTTCACATAAAATCAATTCGTTTCAAATTTAAGAAGGAAACCTGCAACATACAGTAATTTCATCATCAAAAATTTTGACCGTGTGTTCGAGCTACATCAAAATTAAGTGAAGAAAATAATCTTAGGAAAAAAAAAATATGGAGCAGAATACATAACCTTGGTAAATCACCATGAAAAATTATTTTGGAAGCAATATTCTATCTAATTTATCTAATTTCCAAGCCAAGTAATAATAATATACATATATACAGTATATGATCGACGAATAGATTATGCTATATGAAAAAGCCATGTAACCAAATCATCACGTAATTATATTTGGAGACACGTCACGTACAGTACACCAAAAGTGGTAGATATATATAAATATGATAATTTCATTAAAATTTTTTTATTCTTCTACACCCTAAATAAATATTATAAAAATTAATTACACTTACAACGTTCCTTAGTAACATGGATAAAATTATAACAAATGCAAATGAAATATTGAAAAATAATGCGTTGTTATTTAAACGACAAATTAATTCAACGGCCAATGGTAATTTTACCTTTGGAAGCTTTTTAAATGAAGCTCGAAATGAAGCTCGTAAGTATACATTAGTTTATTTTTTATTTTTATTTTTATTTTTTTATTTTTTTAAAAAAATTTAAGATAAATCTAAATCTAAACAGTTACGATAACGAAATTGAATCCAATAATACTGTTTATGATCGGCGGATTTATAATAAGTCTCGTGGGTTTATATATCTACGCACGAAAACAGTTCCCTGATGTAATTATTGTTAGACGTTCTTTCTTTTCTTATTTTTTTTTCTTATAAAAATATTAAATTGTTACTTAATGGTTTGAATAGGGAAGAAGTACAGTAATATTCACATTCACATTGTTCGCAGTCGATATGTGTCTAGATATAGTATTTTTGGTAAATAACGTCATGGCCGTTCCGAACTTATTTCTTCCAAGGTATTATTAGGCTTAAATTCAAACACATTTTTATATTGTCCTTTCTTTCCTAGGATTGATCTCTAACGATTGACTCCTCTTCCTAATCCACTTGTCCTTTTCAGCTTAATAGCATTATTAGGACCAGCAGGATTCAATATTTTGTTTGCATTTGTAATAATGATACAACAAACGTGTAGTCAGGATAAATTTAGTGAATGGATATGTAGACATAGTTGCATAGCGACAATTTTCACTCTATTTTCCGCATTTCATATAGAAGTTCTGAGGCTACTTACATCGAATTTCTTACATTCGGATGTATTTAATGCTCCATTCAATTGTAAAGCTCAAAAATGTCTATTCATAGCTGGACTATTTAATGTTATTATTGAAGATTTGCCCCAATTTATCATACTTGTAAGTAATGTTAATTTCTTTTGGAAATCTTTTATATTTATTTTAAAAGCGAATCAATTTTTTTATATTCTTCTCTTTACTACATTTTATCTTGGAATTAGGTACTTTATTTCAAAGAAATAGGGATAAATTTTACATTAATACCATTAATGACGTTATTCGTGAGCTTTATAAGCTTATTATCAAACATTATAAATAGGATGTACGAAATAGCGTCATTTCGCTCGGGAAGACACAATTTAACCCATAGCTATTTACCACACCGATATTCACCCAACGGACAATTAAACTACCAACCTTGGGTGTGATAAACGATCCGGGATACAGCAATCTTCTTACCTTCAGCGGTAGAAACTTAGTGCATTTGAAATCCTCTTCTTTAAACCCTTATAAGTTCGTTTCTCTTTTTAAATTATTTCCTAAATTATTATTATTATTTTTTTTTTGTTTTAATGAGGAAAGCGATTTTACCTGATAAAATCATTATTATAACACACTTCGATTTTACCACACCTAAAAGAAATAAAAATGTTATATAGGTTTTAGATTATTCAAATCATTATAAAAAAAAAATATATATTTCGATAATATTTGTCCGGAATACCTTCAACCAATTTTTACCGATACAATTAAATCATTTGGTAAATATCAGATGGATAAATTTCATTAAATTAATTGATAGCCTTGGATTACAAGGAATCCGTCGAACATGTAAACATAGAAAAAAGAAAGTGAGTTGATTATAATAAATTGATTGCGTTTTGATTTTGTAACCCTGAAACCGTGATCCGTGACTGCGCTACGGATAAGTCATGTGATCAGAATGATCGACATAGTTGACAAAGTTGACGAA